TGAATTTGTTTTCTACTTAAATTATATCAGGGATAAAATTTGATGTTTTGTAACATCAGAACCTTTTTAGAAGGGAAAGTTGCTTTCCAGTGCTCCTGAATAAGTTTCCAAACTCGTTCTTTGCCATATGAAAGTAGTCTGTAATGTCTTTTCAGTACTGATAAATAAAAGCACAACCAATGCTTAGTGCAGCACAAGTTAGCATGTCTTTCCTTCAAGAAGCTGAAAATATTATTGAAGACCATACAACTGCAATGGATTATATGAGGGTTTATAGGGAAGCCCTTTTAAAATTTTTATTTGAAACTCCATGATGCAATGAACTCCATTGCTATTGAATCTAAAAGTAGTAATGTCCATTTTTCTGCATTTATGAATCAGCGATCATAATAAAGAAATATACCTCTCCATCAATATGCCTTTTACATGGTCCTCTGGCACAAGTCACAAAATGACCTCAAATGATTTGAAACTTAAGTAGAAAGTCTTTGGAAAGAAAATATAACATTATCTCAGCAAGATTCCAGATTCCTTTTTTACTTGCTGGCAATGACCTGGAAAATACTGTCCAGTTAATTATGATAAATTCAGCTCATTTTTTTCACCATGTGAGACAACATTCAAACCACTGGTTGGTGAGCAGTCTCAGGAAAATGGAGATAGAAAAATTTCCCCCCCATTTAATATGACAGTAATATATATATGACATAGGATGTATAAGACTTAAATAGATAAAATATCTGTACTTTGTATAATTCTTGGCCCATAGTTCATCAATGGTTACCATAATTCCTACCATCATCATCATCATCATCATCCTGGTTTGTTTTTGTCATCACCAATTGAGTATCTGCCATGTACCAGGTCCATACTAAAAGATTGGAGGCAGGCCAGGCCCAGTGGCTCACACCAGTAATCCCAGCACTTGGGAGGCTAAGGTGGGAAGATCACTTGTGTTCAGGAGTTCAAGACCAGCCTGGCCAATCTGGTGAAACCCCATCTCTACTGAAAATACAAAATTATCCAGGCATGGTGGCACACGCCTGTAGTCCCAGCTACTTGGGAGGCTGAGGCAGGAGAATCACTTGAACCTGGGAAGCAGAGGTTGCAGTGAGCCGAGATCATGCCACTGCACTCTAGCCTGGGTGACAGGGTGAGACTCCATCTCAAAAAAAAAAAAAAAAAGATTGGAGGCAGAGCCATATCCATTCATGGAGTGTCATAATCTCGAGAGATGCTTAACCATTAAAATTTATTATGCAATTATTCTTAAAGGAAGTGGTTTTTAAGTTCACCATATAATAAGTTGTTAGGAAAGAGTTTATTAATCAAATGTTCTAGGAAATAAGCTACTAAAAAATCTTATTAAGAATATTCAACCTGAATATTAATACTCATAGAAAAATATTAAATGTAGGGTTTTAAAAAGACAATGCACATATAGATCAAGGAATAGAGACATATCTAAAAACAGAAAAAGACTTTGAAATTGTTAAACCAAGTCTTGGATCTGATCTAAGTCAGAGTTTGCACCTTCTTGACTTCACCAGTAGATGCTGCTGTGAAGTAAAACAAGGCCTGCATAGATTTGGACATTCGTATGCTGAACTCTGAAAATGACTTACCCACAATGGAGAAGAATCCTTACATTCATTTATTTGTTCGTATTTTTGTTTCCTTGCTTATCTATGTTTCAATCCACTGAAAACAACTTGGAAAAACATTTTTTATGATAACTATATTATTTTCACTATAACTTTATGGTTTAGAAAGCACTTTTATGAAAATTATCTGCTTACTAACAAGGTGGGCAAGTCTTGTTACCCTTAATTTCCTGACTAATTTGAGACTCATAGAGATTAGTTGACAGGCCCGATTTCTTATAGTTATTAAGTTAGTAGGTGATGGTGCCAGAATTGAAATGCTGGATTTCTGACCCCAAGCCCAGCAAACTTTTCTTTTATACTTTCAGATTTATAAAACTTGATGCAAGGGTCAATCACATGAGGGTTCATGTTCACTGATTCCAAGAATACATCAATGAACATATACAATTACTTTAATCAAGACTTTAACCTTAGGAGTACATTTCTTAAGTGGCTAAAAGACAATTTTGGAAACATTTGACCTTAGTAAAACTAAGGGAAGAGATTTCTAATACAGTATTTGACAGGAAATGAAACAAAAATCAATGATAATTTCTTGTTTGTTTGCAAATCTAATTCTTTATCAAAGCGAAGTCATTCAAGTAATTGTAAATAGCAGGCTCTACAATTCTACAACATATGCTTAGTAGAAAAAAGTTCTGAATATATTTTAAAGGTGTTAATACTTATAAGCCAATTTATACTGTAATAGATGAGGAAAATATATCAACTGATTTTAGTTCATATATTATCTCTGCAATAAAAATTAGCTCTACCTGACATACATACATACATACATACATACTAGAGTGACAAACTGTTCCAGTTTGCCTAGGACTGAGGGGTTCCCAGGACATGGGACTTTCAGTGCTAAAGCCTGGGACAGCCTTAGGCAAACCAGGACCATTGCTCACTCTACATACACAAATAATATTATTTATAAGCATAATAAATATGCAGACACATTTTTTTCCTCCTAATAGCTTGAGTCACCTTGCACAATTATTTTACTATGCTTTAATATGGTGATGCCTAAATAACTGGTGAATGAAAATGTGTGTCAATGTGCTAACCTAAGCCAGCATGCTGATACTTCTTTTTAAATATTTTGTCTCAGTTTTACACATTTCTTAATTCCTCCTTTTGCTAACACCTGTATATTCTCAGGCTCATTAAATGTTATTGCTTAGTTTTGTGTGTGTGTGTGTGTGTGTGTGTGTGTGTGTGTGTGTGTGTGTGTAAGTCAGATATCCAACTTCCTGAGAATTTGTAAAATGTATTTTCCAAGTTTAGGCTATGGGTTTTTAGAGAGAATAAAGTTTTTTCTTTTTTTGAGATGGGGTCTCGCTCAGTTGCCAGGTTGGAGAGCAGTAGCATACTCTCGGATCACTGCCATCTCCGCCTCCCTGTTCAAGCGATTCTCCTGCCTCAGCCTCTCGAGTAGCTGGGATTACAAGTGTACCACCGCCACACCCAGCTATTTTTTGTACTTTTAGTACAGACAGGGTTTCACCGTGTTGGCCAAGATGGTCTTGATCTCCTGACCTCGTGATCTGCCCACTATGGCTTCCCAAAGTGCTGGGATTACAGGCGTGAACCACTGCACCTGGCTGTCGTTTTTTAATTAAAAAAAAAATTACTGGATCAAAATTAGATAGAGTGATTAACCAATTAACAGACTAAGCATTACCAAAATATATTTTTCTCTCATGTAAGTGAAGTCCATGGGCAAGCAGCCCAGGGCTGGCTAGACGGCTTCACAATGATCAGAAATCCATGATTCTTCTGTATTATTGCATGGAATCTCATGGTCTAAGATGGTTGCTGAAATTTCAGTCCATTACCATATTCCAATCAGACAGAAGGAGGAAAAGAATCACATAAAAGATTTCAGCATTGGTCAGACTGTAGTTATATGGCTGGATCAAGCTGCAAGTAATGTTGAAAAATGTAGACGTTACTCTGAGTGGTCACATGTGCCACTAAAACTAGAATTCTGTCATTTAGAAAAAGGGAAAAAATGGATATTTGGGAAGAATTAGAAGTCCCTAGAACACCTAGCTAGACTTACTGCTCTAGCAGATGAAATTTTTACTTTTTAACACAAGAATTGTTTTATTTTCTTCTATTTGTTTGTTCTTTGCCCTGAACATGTAATTACTTTAAAAAATTAAAAGTTTTCTTACATTAAATTCTGTCAGCATATGAGTTTGCATTTATCCTGGCCTGCAACATCTAGCATCACTTCAGCATGTATAATTCATACTGCAGCATGTAAAGGAGTTGAAATCGTGCCTAATTTTCTGCCTAAGTTTTGGGTCTAGTTTTTCTTCTTCCAGCTGGGAGTTTAATCATGTAGACAATGGCTAGACTTTGCATGTGCCCAGTGTGCCTACAGCCTTGAATTATGTGCTCTCCAAGAGTCTGAGACTGGTCTATCAGCTCATAACTACAAGTGACGTTCATAGAGACTTAGCCTCTTTTATGGGTTTCACAAGTGGGATGAAGCTATACTTATATGATGAGCATACTAAAAAATTATTAGATTTATGGAATTTTACTGCTGAAAGGCACTGAGTCCAATCATCTTCTTTTACTGAGAGGATCCAGAGGAGTTATGTAACTTGTCTGACACCCTAGTTAGTTAGTTACAAAATTACTCCTGGCCCTATTCTCCAAACCTCGTGAAGAGGAAATGACCTGTGGTTGTCCATGCCCTATTTTTAGGAAGACATAGCATCACTGTGGGTCCACCACATTTCAGAAGCAGCTTTGTGAGGCCCTTCTATCGGCCCTCACATAGAATCTATAGAATACTAGTGTAGTGGGGAAAAGTTACCTCCCCATCCACAGTGTGAAGAGGCTTGACCTCTCCCTCATAAGTAAGAGAATGGGGTGTGCTTTCAGGGCAGTGGTTGTTTCTTTTTCAGATTCTTAGATCTCCTAAATAACAGTCCTAAGCCATTTCTTGCAAGCATCATGTGTATCTGAGGAACTGTGATGAGTCATGTTTGATGTTCGTTTTTACATTACACAGTACAGAAGGTTGTATAAGCTCCTAGAATCGTCAAATGGGAAGAGACCTAGAGATCCTTATTTCCTCAATTCCTTGATTTCTCAGTTGAGAAAACTAAAACCCACAGAAAAGAATAGACTTGGCAGAGATAATATTTCTTGCTTGTGATTCATAGGAGGAAGTTAAAGCTTAAAACAAGTCTATAGTTGTTCATTCCTAACAATATTAACCATGCTTTTTACATAATAGTATCTGAAAACTAATTGCCTACTTTAAATGAAAGAAAAAAATGAGTTTGCTCCAAGACGTCTCTTAAATTTACAATTAAGTGACATGAGTTAGTTTTATAAAATATTTTATTTACAGTAGAGCTTTACAAAAATAGTCTTAATAAAATTAACACAAATCCCTTTTACAATATAACTTATATGACTATCATCTCAAAAAAGTGACATTTGATTAAAACACATAGACTACATTTATAGTTATTAAGTCACCTTGTAGTATAAATATGTTTTCATCTTCTTTTTTGTAATAAAGTTCATACCAATAACAATGGACAATGGATAATACATCGTCTTTTGTTATTCTTCCAATGTAAAATACATCTCTGGCCAAAACAAAATTAACTGAAGAAAAGTAAAACAACTGTCCTTCTGTTCAACAATACAGTCCTTTCTAATTATTTGAAAGTTTATCTGACAGAGACATAGCATTAAACTGAAAGCACCATGGCGTAAAGTCTAGTAACATTATCTTCAAAAGTTTTTTCCAATGTCTCTCCTTCAACTGTTTATTCACTATTTTGCCAGTATAAATAAAGATTGAGCTCAACTCTCTACTTCATTAGTCTCAAGTGTTCCTATTATGCATTGAGTTTTCAGACCTTCCCAGCTGGCATGTATTGTAAGTGTGAGTTTCTTTTCTTTGGCTTCAAGTGGAGTTTCACAACACTTATGAAACATACTGAGCTCCTCCATGTGGCTGGATCTCTGTGACTCCCCACCCAACAACATTCCCCCGGATGTGACAAGAGTCTGCTCCTCCGGTCTCTCTTATCTCTTCATTGCTAAGAACACTATCCCAGATATTGAAGCCTGTGATTCTCCCAGAGAAGGCTAATGTTTCATCAAAGCCACTACCCACACAGCAGCCATTCTTTTCTTGGCCAATCTGCAGGATTCCTCCCTCTGGAACAATGTGACCTATGGCCATCTCAACAGTGGTAGCCACCATTTCACCATTTACCCACAAGGATGTGAGCCCTTTCTCCGAATTCCAGGTGCTGCACAGGTGAGTCCACCTTCCTAATGAAACCATTGCTTCAGCAACCAGCTTGTTCTCCTCTCCACCCACCACAAACACTATGGACTGGTAGCTGAGATACAGCTGGATCTCGTATGGATTCCTTTTTGTGCCATAGGAAAACAGTATGGTTTTGTTTAGTATGTCTGTGGGTTTGACCCAAATGCAGGCACTAAAAGACTCAAGCCTCAGTGGTCTCACTGGATGCACGCTTCCAAAAATCTTCTTGGAACGCATTGGGAATAAAATAGCTGTTTCACAACCTAGAATAGCAAGAAAAGAAGATTAAAGAAAATATAAATTCATTCAAAATGATTCTGGTATTAGTTATTTTAACATAAGCATTTTAATAACTATAATTGAAAGCTGTATGCAATCCTACATTATGACTTAAGAGGCTTCAGGTGTAATCTCTGCAGAGCAAAGAAAATGGAAAAAAAGGAAAGCCAGTTGTCTTATCCAATGAAACATCTAAATGAAGAGAAAGCCTGCAAATAGAAGAGCCAACTAGTCTTAACCCACAAAATAATAAAAGACATGACTACCTCCCCTTCCAATTTGCATATTTTCTGGTACTGCTTTAAAAAAAAAAAAAAAGTTGAATCACTCTCAGTTAACTTCAGACAATAATTCTATAATTTCCAATAATTCAGAGCCCAGCCTGGTTCTCTCTTTCTGCCACTACCAAGTTTCTAAAATGATAAACCTATGAAATTCAGTAGACCTAGTTTGCTCCATTTAGCCTTTAACAACATGCATTTTTCAGCAAAGTTCTAGAATAGTGATTTATTGCAGAATATATTTTAATACACCAAATGTTCTCAGATATTTGCACTTTGTAGAGTTTTTAGAAAACTACCTTTGAAAGGCAACAATGTATAATAATGATGACTAAGTTTGCTGGGCATTCATGTTGTGCCAGATACTGTTCTAATCACTTTGTATGTCATTTTAGTCCTCATGCCAATCCCAAGAGATTGTCTTTTTTATTCCTGTTATACAGATGAGAAAACTTAGGCAAAAGTAACTTGTCTATGTTACTTTTATGTTATGTTGTCTATGTTACATAGCTGATAAGTAGTAAAATTAGAGTTTGAATTTTTGTGATCTGGTTGCAAAGGCCACACCCTTAACCAGCACACCACATTGCCACTATATTAATAGAACACCTAGATTTCTCTAGGAGGGCTAAAATTCAGATGGTGTTACTACTAATGAGCTGTGTAACTTTGGATGAGCCTCATAATTTCTCTAGGCTTCAGTGTTATCTAAAAAAGTCCCTTCCATTCTGCTCCTAATATTCTGCAAGTCTGTAAGCAGCCAGTGTGTAACACTTAAGAACTGAAGAACGTTTAAAAATTCTTACTTTGTCCACATGCTTATAATTACTATTTAAGTAGTAATAGAAATTATTTAAGAAGAGTACATTCTTTCAAGGGGCCTGGGTGAAGAACATGTTTCTGCTAAAGAGCACTTAGGAGGAGGACTTTCAAATTTGAGGTGGAAAGCTCAGTAAGTTTCCACCACTGTCCATCTCAAGGCCACTTAGCCATTTGGGAAGCTGGAGATGCGGAAACAAAAACCTTTTATGTGTCTCTGGGAAAGAACAAGTGAGCTCTTCATCAATCTATCTAAATATCGAAATATCTATCTATCTGTGTGTGCGTGTGTGTATACACATATATACACATATAGGTGTATATATATACATATATGTATATATATAGGTGTATATACACACACATATAATTATAGCCCTGAGCCACTTGTAGGAATCTGACATAATTTACATATTATATTACATAAAGTTATATATATATAAAATACAAATACACACATATATGTATATAAATGTGTGTATATATGTGTGTTTTTGTATATGTGTGTGTATGTATGTATTTTTTTAAAAAACACCTAAATTAGGGCTAGATATAACAACCTAAAGAAGATTTGCCATAAGACAGCTTTGAAAAGCCAACTCCTAGAATGGTTCCAGAATAACTGGTAAAGAGACAGAACTTGCAGAAACCAAAGATCCATGTAAAAGTGTGGAAAACTATGTCAGATTCCTACAAGGGGATCAGGGCTAGGCTCTGTCCAGAAAACATTAAACAAATATGGACCTTATCCTTCAGTGTTAGGGATAGTCAAATAAAATATTGACATTCCGAAAATCATGTAAAAGTAACTACAATACTAAAACACAAAACTGGCCCTGTCATGCTTTGATACTTTTTCACTAAATAATTTGAACTTTTGAAGATTCTTTAAAATTAATTTTTGATGAGGCACTGATTCATTTTTCAAATGACATTGCTAGGTACATCTTTTTTTCTAGCTATGTTAATTAAAATCAAATAAAAATCATTGAACAGAAAATCACCACATCCATGGGCATTTGATATAGTCTCTATAAAGTTTCAGAAAAGTAGCGTTCAAGAGGATGCCTACTGCAATCTAATTAAGTGAGTTCCTCTTTATATAAGCCCAGGCAGTCAGGATTGCATTCCAAAGCACTCCTCGATTGCATCTCAGACTCAGCTTCTCTCTAGGCTACAGTGGCTATTTAAGTTCATGGATAGATGAACCACATGTTGGCTATTTTGGGTGAGCTTTTGGGAACCAGTGATACCACAAAAATGATGCCCATTTCATAAGATAGTTTCTGATACTTTAAAGAAGTATTAAGAGCCTTCTTTAAAGAAGTCTTCTTTAAAGATTAGATTAGATTCATTAAAGAAGGCTCTTAATACTTCTTTAAAGTATCAGAAACTATCTTATGAAATGGCTGTTAACTAACAGGTTTTTCTGATTATTGAAGACCAAACAAAATTAAAGCCAGGTTCTTAGGAGGCTAACAACAGAATGGTTAGGAGCCAAGTTGGCTGGAGACCAAGAGAAGAGAAATCAAAGCATATTGGTAAAAGTATTATTGATGTAATAAGGTTTAACATTTTAAATTCAGAGATACATCCCTCTTCTTCTCTAACTAATATGCAAAGATGAAGATAAAAAATAGAGTAATTCTTCAGTTTTTCAGGTGCATTATATGACTTTACATTGTTTGCAAAACACAAGACATTTCATTCATTAAAACGGCTGCAGAATTCTGATTTCTCTCCTATCACATTGAGGATCTACTGTACTTTTGATTTTATGTTTTTTCTCCTCTGAAGCACTATTTGATATTTACTGATAAGCACTCCTCAAATATTTAGAAAATATGGTATAATTTCTCTAACTTTAAGTGAAATATGCTCTCAAACATGCTTCTTCTCTCCCCTCATCCAGCAAAATTTGTTTTCTTGGAAATATAGGGAAGAATTCTCAGGAAAAGTGCAAGTTATATTTTCTTACCTAGGACACTGATTTTCTAATATAATCCAAATTGATTGTCACACCACCATTTCTTAGAAGTTTTGGCATACAAAGGAGTATTGCTAGGCTCCAAGTCTTCGATTTCTTTCTTTTAACCATCTTTAGAATGCATTATTTTGGGAACTCATGTCTATTTAGAGATTCATTGAGTGTCACATGAGACTTTGAGAAGTTGCCTCTGGTTTGAACAGTCTTTCTCCTGTTTGGCCCAGTTCTCTGAATCCCTGGGGTGGAGCTGGGATCGCCTTCACGGATTGGCTCCTACACTTGACTGTTCCACGCTGAATCTCAAACCGCACACCCTCTGACCTCCCCTGTCCGCTTATTCCACAAACCCTAGAGGCTGGGGGATCCCTGGAGAATTCCGCTGACCCTTCGGGAGATTAGATTCAGCCTCAAGTTTCTTGCTGAGAAGGGGCGGAGAGGAGGGGCCGGCTGAGGGGCTCGAAAACATCCCTAAACGTTAGCCTGGGCCCTGAAATAGTGAGGGAAACCAGAGCTCCTCAAAAGACAGAGGCAAAAGATAAAATTAGAAGACGTGAAAATCCCTAACGGAGGGAAGCTGGGCGGCGAGAGGGGTCACGGTTATAACCGGCCAGTGGACCTCCTGCAGCGTCTGATCAGATCGGGTGTCAGGGGCCCTAGAGGTCTATTTCAAGACTGTGATGGTTACCTCCACAACTTTCTTTAGAGTTCCTTAGGACTGAGGAATACTTTTTTAAAGCCGATTTTCCCGCCTTGAATGGTGTGTCTGAGCTCTGTGCCCGTGCATGGAGAAATAGAGGGTGTGTGTGTGTGTGTTTCCCATGAAAGCTTCCCCTAGAAGATTGCCTGGCTTAACTCGCCGTTACGCGCGTTCCCGGAACAAAGTCGCAGGGGGAGGTCCCAGCCCAGCAAGCCTTCTTACCTGCCGGCAGCCAGCTCCGGGCCGCCCAGCCCTGCACGGAGCCCAGCTCCGCTCGCGTCTGCCGCAGCTCCTCCAGCACCGCGGCCAGGGCACGAACAGCCTCCTCTGGGCGCCGCGCCTCCGCGCCCTCCAGGCGCGCCAGCCTGCGGCCCGCGTCGCGGCTCGCCTGCAGCAGCTCCTCCAGAGCACCCGCCAGGCTGGCCTCCCCTGGGGCTTCTGGCGCGCACGGCCTCGCCAGGGTGCCCGCGAGTCGGCCCATCTCCTCCCGCAGCCTCTGCAGCTCGCCCCGCAGGACGTCGTCCGTGGCTTGCAGCATCATGCCCTCTCTCATCTGCGAGTTCTCCAGCATGATGAAGAGCTTGTCCCATTCCGAGTGCTCCTGACGGCAGTCGCACGGCGTGGCTAGAGCGCGGGATGCACACACGTTACCAGCCCGCCCAGGCCTGCCTAGGGTGTGCTTTGTAAAAGCTGACCTCCCTCGGTGGTGCCAAGTTGCAGCCCGTCCTTGGCATCCCCCTTCCCTTTAGGGGCACCTCCGAAAAACAGCACGTAAATGTCTCAAGAACGACAGAATCATTCATTCAGGTATAGATTAAGTTGTATCCTATGAAATCGCCGGTTATGTAGCTCAAAACAGTCAAATATCGGCGATTTTATATGACTCAACCCATTATGTACGTTACAGAAATAACTTTGAAACCTCCCTCTTTCTTCAAGTGCTTCTCACTTTGGCAAAACAGACTAAAAATTTTAACTCGTCTCACTGGCTACAAAGTATATGTGTATTATTTAGACCAAGAGGTGGATATGTATTTAGGGTTAGCAGAGAAACATTAAAGTGAACTTACGGTTCTCAGTGGGATGGAGTCCATTGTCTATTTCGTTGTCCAAATTCACATACATGAGATCATAATCGTCCGGGTTTTCGGCCAACACCGCAGACCAGAGAGCACAAAACAGAATCGCAAGGAGATGCATTGCTGGAGAGACGCAAAGTTCCTTCCACAGCTGGTGGGAGGAGACTCTCAAGTGAACCGAGTTTGAGCAGAGGAGAGTGAGAGTGAGAGGCTGGAGGAGAGAGCCCTTAATAAATGCTGGGGAAAGCCTGAATGGGGATGAATGAGTAATGCTGGTGGCACTGTGGTAACGGGAGTTCCCCTGAATTTGGTGGGGGAGGCGGCTGGTTGGGAGGGCGAGGGAAATGTGGAAGTTGCACAATAGCAAACCGCAAAGGTTTACACTGCAGTCAGATTAACTGGAGGAGGGTCAGAGGGGAAAGAGGAGGGAAACTGGGTTTCCACTATTCTCCTGAGAATTAGCTGTTGTAACGTGAATTGATAGCAATGAAAATGAAGAAGGGGTGGTAGGGGGAGAAATTTCAGAGGATACTGAAGGAATTCATCATTTCAGCATTTTCTGTGAGCTGTTCTTATTTCATAGCCCTTTATATATAGAAAACCTTCCATGTTTCCTTTCTACACTGTTTTACAGGTTGAAAATGAAAATGGTCTGATTCCAATATAAACCAACATATTAAGAATTGTTATGGCTCTGGAAGTCAAGTCCAATCCAAGCTATCTTGTCTTTCGTCCTTCTGTAGTTGCACCTATACTTTTATAGACACACTTTTTAAATGACAACACAGTACAACTGGGTAAACCTAAATGGCGTGGGGGGCGGAAGCTGGGAAAAAAGAAATATACTTATCTAGTTACTTAGGTATGTTTTTTTCATAACTTGGTATTATGTGTACATTATATTACTCTACAAGGTGTAGAGGCAAGGATCATGTTTTAAAAGTAAACATAGAGATTTTTGCTTTTAACAATATATACAGGCCTGTGTTCACATGATATTAAAAACTTAAAAGATACAGATGGGCTCCCATTAAAGTAAGGGAAATATCCAGGGGCCAAAGAGAGAGAGGAAACCAAAACCAACAATCCCATGAGCTGATGCTAGGGCCCCTCTGGAATAGGAATGAAGAGAGTTAGTGGTTATTACTTCTATAATCACCAAACGTTGATGACCATGTGGAAGCAAAGCTTAGTTCAAAGCTGGAGAATTAGAAGACAGACCCTCATGAAAGCCGGGAACCTAGAGGGTTACATACGTATTTCAGTAGGTACATTCTACTCTGCCCTAACACAAAAAGGTAGGAAGCAACCAAGTCTCTCTTTGAACTCTACAAGGTCCCTCTGAGTTTGTGAATTTGGGCCTGACCTCAAACATGTTTGGAATTCCAATGTATACTGTCTGCCACTGTAAAAAAAAATTCACAATGATATTATGATATTTGAAGATGCGAGGAAGCAAACCTCTGTAAATGAAAATCAGCAGAAATCAAAAAGGATTAGACACCCCTCCCCAAGAATTTCATATTTGAAATATCAGTCAAAGGCTAGAAAATAAATATGTTTAAAATTATTTAAGCTCTAAAGGAAGGAATTGAAAATATGAGAAAAGAATAAGACATTGTCAAAAAGAAATAGGCAAGGTGATTTTTTAAAGAACCGAATATAACTTCTAGAATTAAAAAAAAGGCAATTAAAAATTTTAAAAGCTCAAGGCATGGATTAAGTGGCAAATTAGGCAAAGCTGAAAAGAACATTAATGAACTGGAGGACAGATAAAAGGAAATAATCTCAAATGTACACTTTTATGTTCAGTAAAAGTATTCTAAAATCCTTTCATTGTTCAGAAGGATGATAAAGAAATTTATTAATTTTGCTTTGCTCAAAAAAATTTGTTACAATTTCAAGGACAACTACCAAAAGGACATAGACATTCAAATTGAAGGAGCAGGGGGAATGTTTAAAGAAAGACTTGATCTGTTAAAAAAAAAAAAAAAAAAAGTAGGCTGTGCGTGGTGGCTCATGCCTGTAATCCCAGCACTTTGGGAGGCTGAGGCAGGTAGATCACGAGGTCAGGAGATCAAGACCATCCTGGCTAATACGGTGAAACCCTATCTCTAATGAAAATACAAAATATTAGCCAGGCGTCGCAGCACACGCCTATAGTCCCAGCTACTTGGGAGGCTGAGGCAGGAGAATCACTTGAATCCAGGAGGTGGAGGTTGCAGTGAGCAGAGTTTGTGCCACTGCACTCCAGCCTGGGTAACAAAGCAAGACACTGTCTAAAAAAAAAAAAAAAAAATTTGTGAATGAGGAAAGAATAGCACAAAGAAGGTAAGTAAAAGGAGCAATATTATGTCCTAAAAATAAATCAGAATATACCAATAATTACCATAAATGTTAATGAAACACGTTTTCCAGTTAAGAGACAAATATTTCTATTCGTCATATAGAAATATTTTATTCAGAATCCCAGTACTCTGGGAGGCCAAAGTAGGAGTGCATCACTTGAGGCCAGTAGTTTGTGACAAGCCTGATCAACATAGCAAGACCTTCGTCTGTATAAAAAATTTAAAAATTAGCCTGGTGTGGTGGTGTGCACCTGTAATCTCAGCTACTCAGGAGGCTGAGGCAGGAGGATCACTTGAGGCTGGGAGGTTGAGACTGCAGTGAGCTATGATCACGCCACTGCATTCCAGCCTGGGTGACAGAATGAGACCTGACACACACACACACACACACACACACACACACACACACACACACGAAAAAGAAAAGAAAAAGAAAGAAGGAAAAAAAGAGAAAAGAAATATTTTAAAATCCAGCTATACATCACTTACAAAAACAGCACATAAAACATAAGAAAGTAGAAATATTCAAAGTTAAAAACTTTAAATTGGAGAAGAGGAAGAGAACATACCAAGCAAGTGCTATTCCAAAAAGCTAGCATAGCAATAGTACTATCAGCAAAAAATAGACTTAGGCAAAAGAAGATAGTTCACTATGATACAAAGAAATACTTTAACAGGAAGATATCTTTGAATTATCTAGTAACATAGTTTCAAAAAATATGTACCAAAGATTGACAGAATTATAAGGAGAAGTGGACAAATCCACAATCATGGAGGGAGATTTTAACATAACTGATAAGTTCACCTATGTCATAACTGATCATTCAAATGCCAAAAAAGTCTGTCAAAGGATACAGAAATTTCAACTATATAATTTAAAGTTTAATATAATAAAATATATAGAGTACTGCCCAGATGGTTTGATGGGCAAGTTCTACCAAACATTCAAGGAACACATAATCCCCATCTTATACAAACCGCTTCTGAGAATGAAGTGCGCAGGAATGTGCTAAATTCATTTTACATGTCTGCTAAGTATGATACCAAAAAGAGACAAGGATAGTACAAGAAAGAACTGCAACCTTTCTCATCAAGAATGTAGATGCAAAAGCTCTAAATAAAGAATTAGTCAAACAAACACAACAATATGAATAAAAATACACATTATGCACAGCAGTGTGCATAAAAATATATTATAACCAAGTTGAGTTTATTCCAAGACTGCAAGATTGATTAAATGTTGGAATAGCTATTAATTTATTACATTAACCATTTAAAGGAGAAGAATCATCATATCAACAGATAAGAAAAATGTTTGATAAAATTCAACACTCAAAATAATCAAACTAGAAAGCAGACAGGAACTTACTTCAGCTGAAAAAGCATAAATACCAAAACTGATAGAAACAGATAAATATGTAATTGTAAATCCTTGGAAACATACTTTTTAAAAACAGGAATAACGCAAGGATATCCATGGACAGTAACTCCATTCATCAAAATGTGTATTGGAAGTCCCCGCCTGTAAAGCAGAACATAAGGACATAAGGACATAAGGATTAGGACGGAAAGAAATAAAGTTGTTATTGTTTATCGTAAGTGGATCATCTACATACAGAAAATCCAAGAGACTCAGAAGACATTATTAATAAGAACTGAGCAAATTTTGTTGGATATAAGATCAACATACAAAAATCTATGCTTTCTTAATACCAGTAGATAAATTGAAAATGCCTTTGAAAATAAAAAAGTTTTCGTTTACATTAGCAAGAATAGCTATGGGATACCCAAGCAACAATTTAACAAAAGACACATAAGACACAGATCATTATAACACCTTATTTAAAAGTATAAAAAGATCTACATAAATGGAAAGATATATTCTCTCCTGGAATTAAAAGACTCAGTTTTACAAAAATGTCAGTTATGCCAAATTAGTCTATATGTTCAATATGAAAAAAAAAATCCCAGTCTGGTTTTTCAAGGCTGTTGACAGACTGACACTAAAGTTTGTATACAGTAGCCAAGAAGAGTTTGAAGAAGTAGGAGGTGAGGAAATATGCCCTACGAGATACAATGATTTATTATAAAATTATTGTAATTAAGAAAATGTAGACTTGAAGAGATGGATAAATGCACAGAAACAGACACACACACATATGGAAAACCTAATATATGAAAGAGGTGTTGCAAATCAGAAGAGTAACAATTGACTACTCAATAGATGATGCTGAAAAAGTTATTTGTATATAAAGAAAAATACAATTAAACGAATTCCTCATGTGTACAAAAGTCAATTGCAGATGGATTAAAGACAACTACAGGAAAACAAAACTGTAATGCCTTCAAGAGAAAATATAGGAGAATATTTTTATGAACCTGGAATACAGAAAAATTTCTAACAAAAAACGATGAAGTAAAAAAATGAAAAAAGTTGACTATATTAAGGCTATACTTTACAATCAACAAATAAACAATTCATTCAATAGTTCTGAATAATTTTAAGGAACTTATAAACATTAATAAGAAAAAATGCCAACATCCTAATAGAATATAGGCAAAGTATGTGAATGGCCAAATCACAAGAGAGGAAATCACCTATAAATATATGAAAAGGGTTCTCAGCCTTACAAGTAATTGGGAAATTGAAATTAAAGCAAAAATATTAGATATATCCCATCAGATTAGCAAACACTAATGTCTGTCACAACCAAATGTTGGCAAGGATGTGGACCAACAGAAACACTCATGCTGCTCGGTGGGAGCAGATTGTCATAATCTTGGTGGTAGGAAGAATAATGGTCCTCCAAAGATGTCCATGTTCTTTCTAGTACCCAGAACCTATGAACATGTTATGTAATATGCATTTCAGATAGAATTAAGGTTGCTAAATAAGATAGGGAGATAATCCTAGATTATTCAGATAAACCCAATATAATCACGAGGGTCCTTAAAAGTGGAAAAGGGAGGCAGAAGAGAGAATCACAGGGAGAGATGTGATGAAGGAACAGGGATCAGAGACACCATGTTGCTGGCTGTGAAGATGGAGAAAGGGGCCACAAACCAAGAAATGCAGGCAGCCTCTAAAATCTGGATATATCAGTCTGTTTCCACACTGCTATAAGGATACTACCTGAGTAATTTATGAATAAAAGAGGTTTAATTGACTCACAGTTCCACATGGTTGCGGAGGCCTCAGGAAACTTACAATTCTGACGGAAGGTGAAGGACAAACTGGGCATGTGTTACATGGCGGCAGGAGAGAAGGGAGAGCACAGGGGAAATTGCCACTTTTCAACAATCAGATCTTATGAGACCTCCCTATCACGAAAACAGCATAAATAAAACCACTCTTATGATCCAACCACCTCCCACCAGATCCCTCCCTCGACATGTGAGGATTATAATTCGAGAGCAATTTGGGTGGGGACACAGAGCCAAACCATATCATCACTGGTTAAGTCAAGGAAACAAATTCTCTCCTAGAGCCTCCAGGAAGGAACCCAGCCCTGGGCACACATTGATTTTAACTTAGGGAGATGTATGTCAGACTTCTGAACTACAGAAATATAAGGTAATAAATTTATGGTATTTTAGGCCATGAATTTTGAGATAATTCCTTATGACAGCTATAGAAAATGAATACAACTGCTCCACAAAGAAATGTTTGAACATCTACAAACTTAACTCCAAGGGACATACCCAGTGTTTTGCCACTTACTATGTGGTCCAGGGGCTATCAGTGTCACCTGAGAGCTTGTTAGAAAATCAGATTCTCAAACCCTGCCTTCAGCCCGTTGAATCAACATCTGAATTTTTTTTTTTTTTTTTTTTTTTAGACAGAATTTCGCTCGTTACCCAGGCTGGAGTGCAATGACGCAATCTCGGCTCACCGCAACCTCCGCCTCCTGGGTTCAAGCAATTCTCCTGCCTCAGCCTCCTGAGTAGCTGGGACTACAGGTGTGCGCCACCATGCCCAGCTAATTTTTTGTATTTTTAGTAGAGACGGGGTTTCAGCATGTTGACCAGGATGGTCTCAATCTCTTGACCTCGTGATCCACCTGCCTCGGCCTCCCAAAGTGCTGGGATTATAGGCATGACCCACCGAGCCCGGCCAACATCTGAGTTTAAAAAGATGCCCAGGTGATTACTAAGCACATTAGAATCAGAAGCACTACCTTATGAAATAACTCTCATTTTTGCACAGACAGTTATTTCAGCGCCATGGATTAAAGCAACAAATAACAACACCACAATATCTTTCAATCATAAAGTGCATGAGTAAGTTGTTGCATATTTATACACTGGAATAACACAAAGCTGTGAGAATAAATGAAGAAGAGCTTCTTGGATGTTTAATTTCAACAAAATGTTGAATAGGAAAAAATATGTTGCAAAGGGATATGTACAGTATGACGTTATTCATATACAATTTTAAAGCATCCAAAACAACACTATAAAATGTTTAGTGATACATACACATGTAATTAAAGTGTAAAAATATGTATGGAAATCATAAATACTACCTTTAGGATGATGGTTGCTTCTGGGGAGGAAAGGAAACAAATGGGATGAAAAGTGATTATAACGTAAGATTAAGTTTTGACAAATCTGGTTGGCAGGTGCACCAGTGCTTCTTATATTATTGCCTATATTTGTTTGATGACTTAAACTATTTCATAATTTAAAAGAATGTATTACTTACTAATGGAATTTATAAGATTTCTGCAAAAGTTCTGCATTCGTTTTTGTATTATTTGATTGAAATTCAAGTCAGCTGAAAATGACTAATCTGGGGTTTTCCCCTTCAAGGCTCCCAGGGCCTTTAGTGAGTTTGTACCAAAATGCCACACACCAGTTTCCTGTCTTAGATTGCAACTACAGTCCCTTTTAACGTAACCATCAGTATCTTCTTGTAACTAAGTTCTATGATCTAATGTGGGCTGTACAAATTGGGTATTGCATTAAAAATTCCTGATCTTTTAAGGAAACACTCATAGTGAAATAAGCAGAAAACAACACAAATTGTTGAAAATTATATTATTGAAAATAAATACTGATGAACACAACCTTTTTAAAGAAAACTAAATATTTCCAACCACTTGTATTCTGGGGTACATGATAAAACCTGTTTTAGACTTATTCTATGAACTATATGTGGAAAAAAAAATTCTCATTTTTTATTGTCTCACAAATTCATTCAGTTTTATTAGAATCATGCTTTCATTAAATTTAGATATTGATATTCTGAAAATTCTGGCCTTCTTTCTTTAATGATCATATCTAAATCGTCTTTTATTTATAGGCATGTTCCTACCATTTAATGAAGGTCTATATATCTGTAATTCCTACTTATTTGATTCTTTCTGTGTATGGCTTCTACATACAAAGCCAAATTTAAAGTAAAAGTAAATAGAGTAAAGAAAATTCTTGTTCAAAAAATCCCTAGAAACCAACTCCCCTGAGACATTTAAATACTTGAGAGGATTTTGAGAGAAAAAAAATCCATACCATCAAGTGATAAGTAGATGTTGCCCATATGCTGTTTGTTGATAAATTCTTATAGTTCATGTAGTATTTTTCTTGAGGTTTTGCCATTTTAAATCTAGTTGTCTATACATGTCTTTGAGGAAGTCATGTGTGACAAACCAGCTGAGGCTAAACTTCCCTTGAAATAGTGCAGAAATTGGGGATTTTGCATTACTACTTCTTATACTAAAAATAAGGCATAGTTTCTGTATGTGAGTTGTCTAAATTATGCTTCTGTATCTTTCAGGAATGTGAATTCACTCCTCTTCACTTTTCTTATAGTTCAGTTTCATCTATGTCCATGATTATAGCACTGCTTAGTTTTCATTTAAACATTATACAAATTTTGCTTCTCATCAGGAATTCTTTTATCAGAACTGTTTCCTTCTCAAGGGTGTGGTCTGATTACTGTCAAAGTTCCTCTATCCCCATGGTGCATTACTCAGGAAAATTTTTTATTAGTTAATGTTACTGATCATATCATAAAATATTTCCTTTTATAGAATCAGAGTAAATCACATTTTAATCGCAGAATAAGGTACCATGTTATTTTTAGCAGAAGATTTGGCCATTACTCTGTGCTATTTAATGTGTAAATGTTATTGCACTGGTAATAATGTTATTTCTGTTGCTTATGGCCTGATAAAGTCATCATTCCCCTTATTGTTCCCTGAACAGGTAACACCATGTTGTTGAGAGTGTTACCTGCTGTGTATGAAAAGCAGCCTCAGCCAATTAATAGACACCTGACAGAACTCTTGGCCTTAATGTCTCAGCTGGAACAGCCAGAACAATACCATCTACTACGGCTTCTGCATGTAGCAGCAAAGAAAAAACAACTGGAGGTAAAAATTGTATATGTCATGGTACACACAACTAAGCATGTTTTTCTTTGTGCGTGTGAACAGCATATGTGCTTAGGATTTCCTGTCTCAGACATCTATACATGTAAATTTTAAAGTGAAAACCCTCATCTATTTATTTTATTTGTATAATGAGAAATTGGCTCATGAAATTATGGCAGCTAAGAAGTCCCATCTGTCATGTATAAGCAAGATGCCAAGGAAAACCAGTGGCAGTTTCAGTTCAAGTCTGAAAGCCTGAGAGAGGGAGAGCTGATTGCATAAGTTACAGTCTGAGGACAGTAGAAGACCAATGTTCCAGCTCACAAAATCAGGCAGAGAAAGCAAATTCTCCCTTCCTTCACCTATTTGTTCTATTCAGGCCCTCAGTTAATTGGATGAGTCTTATCCATATTGCAGGGGCAGTCTGCTTTATTCAGTCTACCCACTGAAATGCTAATCTCATCTGAAATCACACTCACAGACACACCCAGAAATAATGTTTACTCAAGTATCTGGGTGCCCCATGATCCAGTCAAGTTAACACATAAAATTAACCATCACAAGCCAGGCATGGTGGCTTATGCCTGTAATTTCAACACTTTGGGAAGCCGAGGTGGGTGGATCACTTGAGGCCAGTCCTTTGAGGCCAGCCTGGGCAACACAGTAAAACTCCGTCTGTACAAAAAATTACAAAAATTAGCAGGGCATGGTGGAGTGCACCTGTAGTCCCAGCTACTCAAGAGGCCGAGGTGGGAGAATCACCTGAGCCAGGGAAGTTAAGGCTGCAGTGAGCCATGATCATGCCACTGCACTCCAGCCTGGGTGACAGAGTGAGACCCTGTCTCAAAAAAAAAAAAAAAAAAATCATCATACAGATACAGTAAGGAAAAGCACCAAATGTGCTGGGTGTGGTGGCTCACGCCTATAATCCCAGCACTTTGGGAGGCCCACATGGGTGAGTCACGAGGTCAGGAGTTTAAGACCAGCCTGGCCAAGATGGTGAAACCCCACCTCTACTAAAAATACGAAAATTAGCCAGGCATGGTGGCAGGAACCCGTAATCCCAGCTCTTTGGGAGGCTGAGGAAGGAGAATTGCTTGAATCCAGGCAGCAGAAGTTGCAACTGAGATTGAGCTACTGCACTCCAGCCTGGGTGACAGAGTGAGACTCTGTACTATAAATAAATAAATAGAAAAGCAACAAATGTGCAAATCTGTAGTTATTGTAGTGTGGCGTTAAAGAAAGTTTAGTGTGGCCGTGAAGTCCTAGGAACTGTAGTTTCTCAGGTAAGACCAAGAAGAGACCTACACTTAATCCTATTTGTGAATTAATCAGCCTATAGTGAATGCAAAGACTCATTCTCTAGATAGCAAATAAGTTGTCATTCTTTGGATTCAAGTAGAAGACTGTAACAATTAGGATGCTTATGATTATCGGTAATAGAACACCCAAACCAGAATAGTTTCATCAGTGAAAGGAATTTATAGCTAATGTGATGGGAAAAAATTCAGATGAGATTTGATTCAAAAATAATGTGAACAAAGAATTTTTATATTTTGATTTCTCAGATTCGACTTCTAGGCTTCCATTTTCCACAGGCTTTCTCCTTGTCATCTCCAATAGGTGCTCAGGGCCCTCTTGGCACTATGCTTCTCCTACATCTATCACTGCCACCAACACCCAACAAAAGTCTTGATATTCTCTCTGTTTAGGGCACATGCTGTACCCCTAGGGCTTCTCCTGAACTGGAGGATACACAGACAGAAACTAGAAGCTGCCAGGAAGAGGGAATTAGAAATGGATTCTAGAGGGCACCAATGTATTAGTCCGTTTTCATGCTGCTGATAAAAGACATACCCAAGACTGGGAAGAAAAAGAGGTGTAATTTAACCTACAGTTCCACATGGCTGGGGAGGCCTCAGAATCATGGTGGGAGGCAAAAGGCACTTCTTACATGGTGGCAGCAAGAGAAAATGAGGAAGATACAAAAGCAGAAACCCCTGATAAAATAATCAGATCTCATGAGACTTATTCACTACCATGAGAACAGTATTGGAGACCCACCCCCATAATTCAATTTATCTCCCACTGTGTCCCTCCCTTAACATGTGGGATATGGAAATAAAATTCAAGATGAGATTTTGGTGAGGAGACAGAGTCAAACTATAACATTACATCCCTGGCCCATCCAAATCTCATGTCCTCACATTTCAAAACCAATCACGCCTTCCCAGCAGTACCCCAAAGTCTTAACTCATTTCAGCATTAACCCAAAGGTCCACAGTCCAAAGTCTCATCTGAGATAAGGTAAGTCCCTTCTGCCTATGAGCCTGTAAAACCAAAAGCAAGTTAGTTACTTTCTAGATACAGTGGGAGTACAGGCATTGGGTAAATGAAGCTGTTCTAAATGGGAGAAATTGGCCAAACACAGGGGCTACAGGTCCACACAAGTCCAAAATCCAGCAGGGCAGTCAAATATTAAAGCTCCAAAATGATCTCCATTGAATCCATGTCTCACATCTGAGTCACACCGATGTAAGGGTTCCCACGGTCTTGGGCAGTTCTGCTCCTGTGACTCTTCAGGGTACAGCCTCCCTTTTGGCTGCTTTCACAGGCTGAGCTTTACTGTGTGGGGGCTCTGACCCCACATTTCCTTTCTGCGCTGCCCTAGCAGAGGTTCTTCATGAGACCCCCACCCCTGCAGCAAACTTCTCTCTGGACATCCAGGCATTTCCATATAGTCTCTGAAATCTAGACGGAGGTTCCCAAACCTCAATTCTTGACTTCTGTGCACTCAACACCACATGGAAATTGTCAAGGCTTCGGGTTTGCACCCTCTGAAGCCACAGCCAGAACTGTACATTAGCCTGTTTCCAGTCATAGCTAGAGTGTCTGGAACACAGGGCACCAAGTCCCTAGGCCACACACAGCCCAGGGACTCTGGGCCTTGCCCATGAAACCAATTTTTCCTCTTAGGTCTCTTGGTTTATGATGGAAGGGGCTGCCATAAAGCCCTCTGACATTCCCTGGAGATATTTTCCACATTGTCTTGGGGATGAACATTTGGCTCCTACACTTAAGCAAATTTCTGTAGTCTACTTGAATTTCTCCTCAGAAAATAGGATTTTCTTTTCTATCACATTGTCAGGCTGTGAATTTTCCAAACTTTTATGCCCTGCTTCCCTTATAAAACTGGATGCCATTAACAGCACCAAAGTCACATCTTGAATGCTTTGCTGCTTAGAAATTTTTTCAGCAGATACCCCAAATCATCTCTCTCAAGTTCAAAGTTCCAGAAATCGCTAAGGCAGGGGCAAAATGCTATCAGTCTCTGCTAAAACATAACAAGAGTAGCCTTTGCTCTAGTTCCCAACAAGTTCCTCATCTCCATCTGAGACCACCTCAGCCTGGATCTTATTGTTTATATTGCTATCAGGGTTTTGGTGAAAGCCATTCAATAAGTCTCTAAGAAGTTTCAAATTTTCCCACATTTTCCTGTTTCTTCTGAGCCCTCCAAACTGTTTCAACCTCTGCCGGTTAACCAGTTCCAAAGTAATTTCCACATTTTTGGGTATCTTTTCAACAACACCCCACTCCACTGGTACCAATTTACTATATTAGTCCATTTTCATGCTGCGATAAAGACATACCCAAGACTGGGAAGAAAAAGAGGTTTAATTGGACTTACAATTCCACATGGCTGGGGAGGCCTCAGAATCATGGTGGGAGGCAAAAGGCACTTCTTACATGGTGGCAAGAAAATGAGGAATTTGCAAAAGCAGAAACCCCTGATAAAACCATCAGGTCTCATAAGACTTATTCTCTACCATGAGAATAATATGGGGAAAACTGCCCCCCTTCTTCAAATTATTTCCCACCAGGTCCCTCTGACAACATGCGGGAACTATGAGAATACAATTTAAGATGAGATTTTGGTGAGAACACAGAGCCAAACCATATCAACCAACATGTGTGCCCAGTGAATATTAATGGTTAGAACCAAGGTTATTTAATTATGGCTGCCCCATTTCTTTTCTTTCTTTCTTTCTTTTTTTAAGATGAAGTCTCACTCTATCACCCAGGCTGGAGCACAGTGGCACGATCTCAGCTCACTGCAACCTCTGCCTCCCAGGCTCAAGCAATTCTCTGCCCCAGCTTCCTGAGTAGCTGGGATTACAGGCACACACCACCACACCCAGATAATTTTTGTATTTTTTTTTTTCAGTAGAGACAGGGTTTCACCATCTTGGTCAGGCTGGTCTTGAACTTCTGATCTTGCAATCTACCCGCCTCAGCTTCCCAAAGTGCTGGGATTATAGGTGTGAGCCACCGCACCTGGCCTGCCCCATTTCTTTTTAATGTCACTATTCACCAGTTGAAAAAAAAGAACAATCAATACTAAAGTGAACACTGGAACATTTGTATTCAACCTTCAAATTATTCAAAGAAAAGCAAGAAAGAATAGTTATATGCATAATTAGTCACAATAGATTGCAAGGCCCTTTGACAAGAAATGATTTATTCTTTCCTTTGTATCTTAGACTTTTCCATAGTATCTGATAGAGCTCAATAAACATTCATAGAACCAAACTGAGAACAAACATTGAACCAAATTAAACAAGGTGATAAATGCTTTGCAAATGGCATAAACAAAGAGAGAGGATGATAAATTCTACTTTACGAGGGAATAGATGCCATGAAGCTCCACAAAGGGAGTGACATCAGGGCCATACCATGAAGAATGCATACTTTTATGCAGATGATTCAGAGCTAGGAATCTTGGATATTGGAAAGCAGGATTCACAGGAAGCTTCAGGAGATGAGACCAACAAGGATGACCAATGCCTGAGCCTTACTCCCAGGGATTTTGGTTCAGTAGCTTCAGTAGACACAAGTGGGGACCCCAAGTGTGTCTTTTTTACAAGTACCCATATGGTGCTGCTGTTGCTTCGAGGGACCACACATTGAGTAGCAAAGCTAGAGCTTAGGCAGAGGACTGGGAACTTCTCTGTTACTAGTATGCACTGTCTCTTTTGCCCATAGAACAATATGTCATTATTTTTGCATGACTGTTTCTTTCAGTGCACTGTAAATTCCTTGAGGTACATGGGACTCTTGTCTACATATTCATATATGCTCCCTAGCATAGTGCTGGGTTACATAGTAGGATTTGAATAAAAAGTTATTGAATTAAGAAATGAATAAATTTAACAAGAGACAAAAAGACTGAAGACATGAAGAAAAAGGAAAAGTCACGGTGTGTTCTCCAAAGGAGAAAAAGTGGCTCAACAGGGTCAAGGTCTAGAGAAGTAAAGAAGACAAGAGACAGGCATTGACCTTGGATTTGGCAACTGAGCTCACCAGTTGTATCTTTTTTATAAAAGGCAGCATCTGTGAGGCAGGGTAGGGGAAGTCAGTCATTTATTATGAATTGCATATGGAAGGGAAGGTTAGGAAAGGACCATGTGAGTGTGGACTGCCAATTCAGAAAGTTCAGAAGAAACAAGAAGGGTTAAAGACAAAATAAGAAAAAAGGGATTGAAGGTGTGAGAGGAAACAGGAGACAGAACAAGGTGCCAAAGGAAGATGTGGAATGTATTCCAGAGCACAAGTGGGGGGACCAATTTTGGAAAGGACTGAGGGCAGAAAGGATGAGCAAAGGTACAGTAGTTTGGGGTGAGGAATGGAGTTGAAGAATTATTGGATCACCTAGAGCACAGGCCCCCAACTGGAGAAATAACTGGGCAGCTTCCACTTCCACTTCCACTGTAGAGAAGGCTACAAGAGAAGGCATTTTCTCGGTGCTGGTCCCAGCAGGCAGGGGAGCGTGGACAACGGCACTAATAGTGACTGAACTCATACCATGTACCAGGCACTATGTAGGTATATCACAGACATCTCATTTATTCCCTACAACAAGCTTTTTATTTTATAAATAGAGAAGCTATAGTTTGGAGAGGTTAATAAGAACAGTGGTGGTACCAAAGGGTGACCTTGTGGGTGAGGTGGCTTTTCACATGCACTTCATCTTCATCAGCCTTTCAACTTCTATGTCCCCCAGTGACCATCAGAGTCATACTACCTTCCCTAAAGCCATCCTACGGTGACAATCTGGGCTTCACACCAGCTAGGTCACTTGCCCAAAGCCAGACAGATCAGGCAAGCAGCAACACAAACCCAGTCTAATTCCAACCAATGAAATCTTTTGACCTCAACACACTAAAGAATCAAGGCTGTAAGGCTGAGGCTTGTGAAGCAAATGAGAATTCCAGAAGACACAGGAGAAAGTATGGGAGAGAGGGCAGTTTGAGGGTGGACTAGACAAGAGAAGGAGAGTAAACAAAATGAGGAGAGAGTGAACTCACATTGTGCTAGGTACTGTGGGTGCTGAGTATGGATCCCAGAACAAAGAGCCCAGGGTTTAGGGAGCACCTACAGCAATGTGGATGGACCCAACCTGTGCCAGGATTCTCCCTGGGAAGAAGTTGTAATGGGGGGATTGCTGAGCCCTGTCTCCTGTCAGCCCTACCTTCATGGTAAAGCATCCTCTCCACTTGTCTCCCTCAGCTCTTTGTGCTCTGTTGTTGCTGCCAGCACCCCTAGAACTAGAGTGCACCCTTGATTTCAAGGGGTCTGTCACCACAGGTGGAACAATACAAAAACCACCTGATTCACCTTCTCTCTCACCTCTTCCTTAATTAGACAGTGGGCAAGGGGGATGGAAGGAAATGTGGAGAAAGAGAAAGGGTTCACTGAGAAGGGAAAGGGAAGTGGCGACAATCAGAAATACCAAGGCTTTCAAGTTAAGCCTAATTCATTTCAGGTGAAATAGGAAGCTAAACAAGGAAGTTCTGACCTTGTGAAATTGGAATTCAAGTAGAGCTTCTATGTCTGCATTAAAGCATTCCTGACGCTCTGTAACATGCAGGTAAACTGAGTGGGCTCTCTAGGGAGGGCAATGTGTGCAAATGCTTCATGCATCTAGACCAGCAGTAAGAAGGAAGCATGTGAAGGACCTGCTCAGGCCATTTATGGTACAATGGGAACTTCCACAATGGCACTAGACTGAGAAGGAAGAGGAGAGGAGCTGAGGAAGGCTTTTTAAGGAAATAACAGTTCATCATTCATCAAGAATGATCAGGAGTTACTCAAGCAAAATAGGGGCAACAAGAATTCCGGGAAGAGCAAATCACATGAGTAAAATCCCAGATGAAAAAGAAAATTTAGCAAGTTAAGAACTTTAAAAAAAATTCATCATAGTTGATGTGTGATACGTAGTGGGGTCTGGACTGGGGGAAGGTGGACCGAATGGTCAAGGAACTGAGTATGGGAAGATGAATAGGAGTCAGGTTGAAAACAAGGGCAAGTGACTATAGGGTTTTAAGGCAGGAAAAAACACCATTGTGACTAAAGCTGAAAAGAGATTGGATGGGCAAGACTGAAGGCACGGAGACTTTTAGGAGGCTGTGGAATAACTGATGTGTGGGATGCCTGGGTCAGTGATCTCAGCTCCATGTCCCCCTGAGAGAGCCCTTCCCTGACGCTTAGCCTGAATTAGGGCCCTGGGACAGTCTCTCACAGAGCCCTACATTTTCCCTACATGGGATTTATTAAAACTTATAATTATTCATTTCTGATGTGATTATGACTTTTATTGAATGTCTCCTTTACTAAACAGTAAATTATTCCATGAAGGCAGGAATCTTGTCAGACTTATTGCTATCCTTATCACCTACAGCTTGCAAATAGGAAGGACTCAACAAGTGTGAATGAGTGAATGAATGGATGAATATAAAGACAAGGGAGTGGACAGATCTGTGGGATTCTTGGGTACTGGACACAATAGGACTTGGTAATTGCTTGGATAATGGCGGCTAGTAAGGGAGAAACAGTTTCTAGTTTGAGTACCCAGGTGGATAGTGATGTCATTTATAGGAAAAGGAGGCACTTGGGGCCAGAAGGGGTGGAGGGAGAGAGAAGCAGGTTTTTGGCAGGGGGTGGATTATGAGTTCAGCTTTGGGGAGATGGTGCTGTGATCAGATTTGGTTTTAATACTGGAAGCTACATTTAACGTCTTCCCTACCCAAAAAATGACACATCAGTAAAGTAAATCAAACACAAACAAAGAAACAAACAAAGCAGAAGTATGGATGGGCAAATCTGTTTCACTTTTATTGTTCAGTTTCCCACAGGTTTCCTTTATAATTATCCACTTTAGCAGACAAAACAATTCATTAAAATTTCAGTATGTGATATATTAACATAGTGTCTTTATTCCACAAAAGAGTCCCATTTTCTGGGATAAATTTCACCTTTACATTCATTTCACCTTTACATTCTTGATTCATAAGAATCAAGAAAATATATTAAGATGAGACTATGATATAAATCATTTTTGCTTTATTAACTTTATCTTATATTTTTGTGATCAAAACTGAAAATTGAAGAAACTGTGAGAACTTTTCTGCTTTCTTATTTTTATTAAACATTTCTAAACTGAATTTTTCCATTTTGAAGGCTTTGATTAAAGTCAACAAAGATCTCCCACATACTTAAATTGTCCTTTAAACTGCAGCTTTCATGGTGATTGGAGGAAGTGTGGCATTCCCAATAAGGAAATAACACATCAAAACTTGATTTATGAATAGTAACACTGAAGCATTATTTTAAACTTCACTTTTCAATAGGAAGGCACAGATCAAAAGAAAAAGAAACTAAAGGCTATGAATATTTTATTATAAATTTTAAATTCTAAACTTGGGAGATTTGCTTGAATACCAGTGAGGGAAATAATCCCAGAATGTGTTGAGTTCAGGTTTAATACAAAAAAGTTTGCTTTCAAAGTTAATTCTGATTTAATTAACTTTTTTCTTTCTTTCCTCCTCCTCCTCTCCTCTCTTTATAGGTAGTTCAGAAGTGTATTCCTTTCCTAATTGGGCATTTGAAGGATTCAACCCATAATGACATCATCCTAAACATCCTTATAGAGATAGCAAGCTACGAGCCGGTGGCTTTGAACAGTTTTCTTCCAATGCTGAAGGAGATTGGTGAGAGATTCCCCTACCTCATTGGACAGATGGCAAGGATTTATGGAGCTGTTGGGCATGTGGATGAAGTAAGTTTGGCTTTTTTCTCTCCATTCCCCTGAACTGCATTGGTACTTAATCCCACCTATTTAATCCATTGGAGCTTTATGACCTACAAATTTGTCCTGGGAATTCTGGGAGTTCCAATTTCTCTTTCAATCCCTTTACATAGACAATGGCCTCTGAGTCAAGTAGCAGGGTTATAGGGAAGATTTAGGAAGTGAGTCTTTTATTGTTGCTGTGTCACCTGAAGAAGGAGGGTTAAAATGAAGAGAGCACTGAGAGATTCAAGACCACTTTGCAGTAACAACAACTAATAAAACAGCTGTATCTGATTTCAGTTTGCAATTTCTCTTAACGCAGGAGACCACCAGTAAGCACAGAATTTTAAAATAAAAACAAATCTATAATTGAGAGCTTTTCCTTTAACCTACTTACATATAAAATAATTGACCATTAGATAAATATAAAATTATTGACCATTAGATAAATATAAAATTGTCCAACTTTTAAAAGAAATTTCATAGTTCATTGAGTTCAATCCCTTGATTCTGCATAAGATAAAATTAAAAAACAGAAAAGTTATGTGACTTACCCAAACTCAGACTGGGTTGGTAACTCAGCTACAATTAGATCTTTGGTATTTTTGGCACCTATTTTTGAATTTTGTCTTAAAATGCATCTTTGTGCTGTTTGATTATATTTCTTCTGAGATTATGGTGAGCCCTTTGAGTCCTGCCTGGTTTCCTCCTGCTTGAGGCTCTGTCTCCTCTAGCTTCCCAGAAGAGGGCGGGAGAATGGAGTTCCCAAGCTTGCACTTGTCAACATGAGGATGGATCTTGAAAGGGGATTTCTTTGGTGCAGATGTACTCTTAGTATAATCCCTTTCTGTCTACCGCAGTTGGGAATGCCTTGCCACAGTCTGCCTCCTGGCAGTGCTTTCCCCTGCCTGTCACCTTTTCTGCCAGAAGAACCCACTGGTATGTGTGAGTGTTATTAGGCTGACTTTGCCTGACAGCTATTTAACTGAATCTGCTGACCTTGCAGATCTTTGCAAGGACCAAAAAAGTTCAACCTCTGAGGTGCGAAGCCCTGGAATCATCACAAATGATTCATTAATGTATAGTAATGCACATTAGCATTGACTAAACTCCCATGGAAAATGTAATCTGTGAAAAACAAAAATAGTAGCCACATGCAATCTAACCACATGCAATTATGTCACTGTCAGTTTGTCTGAACTAAGGTTGTTTCCATCTATTTTTTCACTGCTATAAAGAAATACCTGAGACTGGGTAATTTATAAAGAAAAGAGGTTTAATTGGCTTGCACTTTCAAAGGCTGCAACAGGAAGCATGACACTGGCATCTGCTCAGCTTCTGAGGAGGCCTCAGGAAAACCTACAATCATGGTGGAAGGCAAAGGGGGAGCAGGTACCTCATGGCCAGAGCAGGAGGAAGAGAGGTGGGGAGGTCTACACAAGATCTCATGAACACTCACTCACTCTCATGAGAGCAGCAGCATGGGGGACATTCCGCCCCGTGATCCAGTCACCTCCCATCAGGCCCTACCTCCAACACTGAGGATTACAGTTCAACGTAAGATTTGGATGGCAACACAGATCCAAATCATATCAAAGGCTAACCTGAAAGAGAACAGTTCATTTGGTGACATTTGTGTGACTCTCAGTGCATACCAGGAGAAGGAAAGGTAGATCCAAATAGCCTGATGAATAAATTATTTCAGAATTTATATTTGTTTGCTTTTTTCCCCAAAAGAAACAACTCTTTCTGTTGGTTCTGATTCACCACCTACCCCAGACTCACAGCAGAGAACAATTGTAGATCAGATAATTACCAGGTATATCTAGACATTAGGATTATATGAGGAGCTTTTAAATAATGTCCTTGGGCCCCACAGAATGCCTACTAAGTCATAATCTCCTTAGTATTTAGTAACAGAGAACATATGAAGTGTTTTCTTTCTAGATTTAGAATCAGGCCTTGCCCATCACCCATCCTTGATGGAAGAGCCATCAAGCCATTGTTAATCAATTTGATAATTTTCTAGACTGTTGATATAGCAGCTTAGAGTAGGCTTAGCTAAGAGTAACATAAAAATCCAAAACCACAGTAACTTAAAGATAGATATCTGATTCTCTTACACATAAAGAAGCCTAGAAGGCAATCTCCCTAGAGTGCCATGTTTCAGAGACCCAGGCTCCTTCTACCCTATTGCTCTACCATTCCTGAGCACACCAGAAAGCATATAGCTTCTGTCTCATGGTTCATGATGACACTGTCTCCACTTATCATATCAATCTTTCAGCCAGCAGGAAGGGGGAAGTGGAGAAGGAATCTTCCAGGCCGTCAAACACAACCTTTTGTTTACAACCTATTTGCTAAACAGCATAAAGCTGAATATGACCACATGTAGCTGCAAGGGAGACTGGAATATGTCTCCTGGATTTGGGCAGTGGCCACATGCCGAGTTAAACAGGGGACAAAGGCAGAAAAAGTGATGTTGCTGCTGCAACTGGTCAATTTATTTCACGTCTGTGGATCTGTTTTCTTTCCTCAAAAATTAATGGCTTTATACTGGATTACCTCTCTTATGGGTCTGATATTATTTGATTCCATTATTCCATTTTATTTAGGATCAGTCTAATAAAATCACCTACAAATGTCAGGCAGGCTCCTTTGCTCAGAAATAATGCTCTTTCTTGATTATTTTTAGTGCCTGAAATATTACTGTAAGAGAGTTATTTCAGCTGTAAGGAAGGCTAAAGCTCAGATGTCCCAAAAATAAGTATAGTCATCTAAGCAGCTAGTAACAGCTTAATTTGAGTAAATCTGTTCAACTTTCTAAATAAAACCTTGTGGAACAGTATTTCTAAGGACCAAAAACTATAGGCAAGATATATATGTAGGTATATCTCTACCTAGCCTCTTTCCAAAAAGAAAAAGAAGTTCCTGAGGTACATTGAGACTTGGGCATGAGGGCAAATGCCCAGTATGAGGTCTTGGGTTCCTAAGTGAAAGAAAATGTCAATAAAGAAAGAGAGGCAAACACTACCCTGTAAAAGTCCCACCACTTTGTATGTGGAAAGCTTGGTCTATAGGGAAATAGTAGAACATGGGACTATATGAGGCATGGGGATTTTGGGGGTGCTTATAAGACAGCCACAGGACCCTTGTGAACTCTGGCCCCAGGATCCTCTCCCTTATCCTATTCTGTTCTCGTCTAAAAACTGACTTCATTTGAAATTTTTGTCTTTGACACCAAAGTAGTTCTTTCAGTTATGTGTAGGGGTTCAAACTATCAGATAATTTTATTGCCAGGATATAAAAGATTTTAGAAATATGGAAAAGCCAATTCAACTTTGAGATCCTGCTCTGACTTTTATAATATACAATCTATGACTGATCAGAGCATACTTTTAGACCCCTCCCTTGTTTCCTGGCTTTCAGCAAACCACATGTTTCATCTTTAAGAAGAGCAGAGTCTCCTGAAGGTTTGCAATCCTCAGTCTAGATTTGGTCATTGCATAGAGACAGCCTGGAATCACACAAGTTATTAATTGGCTTATGCCTTACCTTCTGTGCTTGCATGATGCCAGGTATAAGAATTGCAAGGCTGGCTAATGGGAACTGACCGGGTGTGCCTGTCTTTCAAATGAGGGCCCATCTGGGTGAGCAAACTGTTTTCCACAGCTTGATAGCATCATCACAATTTTTCCATCTAGATTGCATTCAGCGGAGAAGAGCTGTATATATACGACAACAACAACAAAAATCCTACCGATTCTTATTTTCTCTACCTCCCAAATTAATGCAGGGATCTTTTTTGTCCAAACATAAATAAAGCCATGTTTAATAGTCATATAGTGCTGGTGCCACTGTGGAGGTCATGAATGACTCACAGACCACTTCCAGGGCAGAGAAATTTGCTTCTGGGAGAACCAATCAACTGTTGCCCTTGAGGTGCACCTTTCAGTAAAGATCTATCCAGTTCTTTATAATTCCAGGATTTACTCAATTTATCTGGTATTCTCAGTTGAAGTAAATTCATAAATAAGAAATAGTATTTGATTAAATGTACCCAAAACACAGCAAAAATACATGGACCATTTCGTCTTTCTCAAATGAGAAGGTTGCAGTGGAAACCTTTCAGACAACAGCAGATATGATATCTTAGTGGCACCTAAGGGTTCATTCCCCAAACATGTATCTAGCAATTCATAAATGCACTTAACACAGTGCCTCATATTAAAAAAAATGCTTATGCTGGGCGTGGTGGACGCCTGTAATCCCAGCACTTTGGGAGGCCGAGGCGGGTGGATCACAAGGTCAAGAGATCGAGACCATCCTGATCAACATGCTGAAACCCCGTCTCTACTAAAAATACAAAAATTAGCTGGGCATGGTGACTCATGCCTGTAATCCCAGCTACTCAGGAGGCAGAGGCAGGAGAATTGCCTGAACCCAGGAGGTGGAGGTTGCAGTGAGCCAAGATGGCGCCATTGCACTCCAGCCTTGGTAACAAGAGCGAAACTCCATCTCAAAAAAAAAAAAAAAATGCTTGATGCATTTCAACTAGCAGCAACAAAATAGCAGCAGCAATATAATAAACAAAACCTGCCTAGCTAGAGAGGCCAACGAGAGAGGGAAAAATACAAGTGTGATCCTACTTCCTTGCACAAAGTCTTCTGTGGTCTCATCCACTCCCTATGGGATACTATGCAAACCTCTTGGCATGGCCCCAACTTCCTTCTGTAGCTTCAGCTCTTATCTGTCCAGTCTACTTCATTCCCCTATGTTCTGACTACTCAGGATTTTATACCCTTCCCTGAACATCTTTACTCTGACATAGAGTAAAGCTTCACAGCTTATTCTACCTGGAGTTTTCACTCCCTTCTCCTACTTATCTTACCTGACCCAGCTCAAATGACGCCTCTTCTGTGAGTTCTTCTCTGTCCCCTTAGGCAAAGTTAGTCACTCCCAGTCTATAATTCCATAGTAATTTGGTGTACCTCAAAAGTGTGATGGTTGTATCTCAGCCATGTCATGTTGTAATTTGCAGGTTTATGTCTTTTTCTCCTCCCTAAGTCTTTCAGCTTTCAGAGTAAATAAATAAAATATTGAGTCCATCTGAATTCACCTTGGCTATAAGATTGAATGAGTACATGAGAGCACCGGTAATTAAGAATTTGAGAGTTGAATTCTCACTTGAACTTTGGTTCCATCAAGTCTCTGTCCATTTATTCTAACTGACATAATTATAACTTAAGAGAGAGGAAGAGGAAATATTAGTGTGGAGAGGGCTGTATACTTCTGAGCTTATACAATCTATCTCTGATATCTAGCAGGTGAAAGATGATAATGAAGTTGGCAGTAGAATATGGAGTCACTATACCATAAACATGTGGTGAGCCATGGCCATCCGTAATGGCTGCTGGTAGGCGACAAAAGTGAAAGATGATACTGAGTAGATTATAAAGAGATTTTCACATATGAGGTCTCAGCAAGCTGCAAATGAGTTGAAGTACAGCTCCAAGAAGGAGCCCTCACCACTGTTGACTGAGAAGTGATCACCACCAAGGAACCGTCTGTGCAAGAATCTATTACATAAATGAGCTTGCTTATGGTGGGGGCAAAGTAACATGTTGACTAAGAGGGTGGGCTCAGAGTCAGCCTGCCTTGATTTCAATCCTGACTCAGCCACTCACCAGCTATGGGCAACTTACATCAGCTCTTTTGACTCATGTTTCCTCATCTGTAAAATGGGAATGTTTTTCACCTCATAGGTTTGTTGTGAGGATTTAATGACTTAACCATGTGGAACAGTATTTAGCAAATAGTAAACATTTGATAAATGTCAGCACTTGATTACTTTACTCAGCTTTGCCGAAGGCTTTCTCATTGCATTTATTTGTATACAGGCTAAAACTTGACCCTAACAGACCGAAATTAGGGAGATGAAAGCTAGAGAAATGGCTTACCTTGCCTCTGCCTCTCCAAGGAAAGCAGCTGAATGGATAGGCATATGTGGGACCAGTCAAAATCAGGAGACAGAATTGGAATGAGGCACCATAGACAACCACGTGTATCACTAAAGCTGGAAAGGAGAACTGGCTACACATTTTTTTCTTTTTTAAGAAATAACTGGTGTATGTAGATTTTTCTTCCTCAGGGTGGAATGTATATCTGTTTTACATTGACATCACAGACCACCATTCCTGGGAGAAATGAGGATAACAAAAATAATAGCTTCATTTTATAAAACTTCATAAATTAAAATAGGCCTTGTTTTCTTGGGCCACTGGAAGTACACTGCTTTCCATAAAGGGTAGGTCGTCCCCATGCCCCCACCTATTTAAACAGCTCAAATAAGTTTGCAGCCATTTTTATAAAACTCTTATGAACTAAATCTGCAGTGGTTTAAGTTAAGCCCAAACTAAGCTGATGTTTTTTGTCCATGGAGGACTGAAATAGAATGTTTGTTTCCACTTTAGAGGGTTTTACTTTTTCATTTTTTCTTCCCTAATTAGACTCTCTTAGCCATGCAAGTGGTCTCAGCCCACTTGTTAGGTATTATCGCTATTATAGCCTTCTTTCCTAACATGGGTCAACTTGGAAAAGAGAATGCTTTAGGAATGACATTGTTTCTTGAGAGGCCAACTTGAATTCATGCATCTTTCCATCTATTTAAGTCTCAAATAAGTGGACTGAAACAAATTTTAGTTTAATAGTCATCTTCACTTTAGGAACTGGTCATATTAGAAAGCCCATACCACTATGTAGCATGCACTCCATTACCATGCCCCTCCTCTGTGCCAGACCTACAAGGCAGCAGACCTAGTGGTGGAAACAGAGACGAGGTGCTTCAAATTTTTTTTTACAGATAATCTGATAGCACATGGAAAGATTCTATGGCCACTTGTTTTTCCTTCACTGCAGACCAATAGCCCACATCTATGAAGAATCAAATGGCATGTCCCTGAGTGCAGCTGCTGCCATCGTGTGTGTTAAATCCTGTGCCCTCTGCCTTGTTTTTCTAACTAGCTGGAATATGCTGGCTAAGCATCAGAGCGTGTTCATTACATCCTCTCTGGGCTTAGAGTCATGGACACTTTTCAAGTAAAGAAGTGACACACATCTTGCCCAGGTTGCGTTTCTGTGACATCCGGCATGCCTACAAAAACACTTTCAGGAGGAAAAGGAAAAGAATGACAAAGGCAGCTGAGAACCACATTACTGTCCTCATCCTGGCTGTTGAATAACATCCTGAGAAATGGGAGCTGGGTGGATGATTTACACCTTTAAATTACAAATCAAGGCTAAAAAAAAAATCTGGGGCCATTCTACAAGAGGAAGGACCTGTGACTTAAAAGCACAATTTCCCCAAGGATGATCGACTTAGTTAAAACTTTGGTAGGTTCAGTGACATTGGGGATATACTTTCTTAGGCCTTGGTAGGAGCCAGAGGCTGCGACTTAATATTGCAAAATGGTCATGGATTGGGGAAGGATTTTTTCCAAAATGAAAATTTATTTTTGTTTGTATTGTTTAAAAGGGTACATGTTAACTGTAAATAATATTAACAATAAACCTCTTACAAAGTATAAGGAAAACAAAGGCAGACTTTTAGTACATACAAAATATACTTTCAAATAAGAGTACTGATACTCTCTCCCTCAGTGATACAGGGCAGAGCTGCTGATTCTTTCCAAATATAAGGTCCAATACTGGTGATGAAGACACAGAGGAGAGAAAGACATGGTCCCTGCCCTAGAGGAGCTCACAATTTGGGATGAAGAAGATGTAAAAACAGAAATTGGAATTAAATTTGTTACTTGCTGTTAATGAATTTTGAACTGGACCAGGAAGGAAGGAACTAACCCCATGTGGGGGAGTTTTAGAGGAGCATTATAAGTTTGGCTTGTAAGATGATAGGGTTATGTCAGGGGAAGAGGAGGAAGGTATCCATGGGAAGTCATCACATTCAGTGGCAATCAGCCAGGAAAAGGTCTTGAGTCTTCTAGAAATTGTGAAGGACTTCAAGTGCTTGGAGCATAGGATGAATAATGGAGGGGAGGGAGAGAGATGAAGCTGGACAGTGGGCTAGGTCAGATTATGAAAACTCCTTATTGATTTGCAGATAGTTCCTGTTTTCTACCTTCTCTTGGCTGATTCTAGGAACAATATTTTATTTCCCTTCATAGGACAGATAAGTAAATGTAATCCTATGTACCCTAGAGTTCCTAAGAAACTAAAGAGCTGGCGAAAGGACAAACAGTCCCAAAATACTTGTAAATTTAGAGTAGTAAGTGATGGTTACAAAGGTTACATGTTGCAAAAATTTTTAACAATGTCTTGTAATTATCAGCTGTAATTTGGGCCAACTGACCAAATCCACAGAGGACCTGCAGCTCCCTGTGAGCTGGACAGCTTCGCAAGTCCCATGACATGGCTGCACGTAGAAGGGATGTCTGCATGACCAGGATCAAACCCCAGAAGTAGGCAGTCTGGTCCCCAGAGATTTTATCTTTCTCTTTCCAGAGGAGGACCATCTGACTTTCTTACACTGGTGTCTTGGAGGGAAGTAGGTGCTGCCTCAAGAAAGGCAGGAAGCCACCACTTAGTAAGTGCCCTTTCTAGCCATGAGCCTAGGAAGTGAACAAACCTCAGATTCACCAGAAAGGACAACTGGGCATTGGCAGCAGATTGGTTGAGGAGGACAAAGCAGCTGCTAATTCCAGTTCAAATCCTGATGCTCTTTTAAGATGATAGCAGGTCCTCACCCTGCCTGTAGCTCTCAGACCAAAATCACTTAATTTCTAACTACTTCCAATGGTTAGTATTTGAATTTCTTTGCCTATGGCTTCCCCAACTTCACAAACCATTCTGCTAACACACATGGTGTATGCATATGTGAGGAATGAATACTGTCTCACGGCATTCCACAACCAGTGATGGGAGTTGGTGTATTGTCAACTCCCATAACTCCTTTACCCCTCAAATGAAATAAACTCCCCCTAGAATTTTCCAGACTACTTTTTGAGCTGTTTGCCTTCTCTTTCTCACTCTTCTATTCCCCTATTGGTTTCCTGAAGTTTCCAAATAAATGATTTGCACTTAAATCATCTCAGGGTCTGCCCATTTCTGGGAAGCCCAATCCAAGACAAAGACATTTCTAGAACTTCCGTAAGCCACTGCAATCTGCCCTGCTCTGAATATACATTTGAGAATGTACATCTATAACACAGAGTTTAGCATCTGATTGTTTTCCAGTTGCATTTTCTTTTTGTTTATTTGGTGCGTGAATACATACACTCCCAACCCACTATAAGCACTCTGAAGGAAGGAACCATACCTTACCCCTCCTCATGACCCTGGCACAACCCTTCCAAGTAATTAGCTCATAGCAAGTGGTTCACAGGTACTTGCCAACTAACTGTTCCATAGAGACTGGGACTTGACTGACCATCAGTATCTTTTACTAGTAGATGGCATCTGATGACATGACAGGTTGGGTTTGAGGAGACCAGGAAAACTATAGACATTGGGTTCCAGTCAACAGTTGTGGCTACTGGTTTTTCAGGATCTGCCAGTCTCCATCCCATGTGGTCCCCAAAGTGCTCAGACAAGCAGTATTGAGTGTCACTCAGGAACTTGAATCAGAATCCATAATTTAACAAGATGTCCAAGTGGCGTGTATGCACATGAAAGTAGAAGTAGTACTGTTCCTGAGGATCCAGGCCCTACAGGATTTATCTGCTATAGAACCTGGAGGAGTCTAGACATGCCCACACATATATATACATGCTTGATGCATATATGTTTCCAGACATACACACAGCTATACCCACACAGTTTTCTTTGTGAGACCCACTTGTTTTTATGTAAATAATCAATAACCTTTTACAGTCATAATCTTTGATAATGTCTGTATATACATGAAGTCAGGAAATATCATGCATTATTGACAATACAGTTTATGAACATTTATCCAATACCTGCTGTATGCAAGGCAGTATAAGGAGTGCAATGTTAAATAAAATTCAATCCCTCTGCTATAAAAAAGGACTTTTTTATTCACTTAGAAATGATCCTTTACTCACTTGAGCCCAGGAATTCAAGGCAGTGAGCTATGATTGTGCCTCTACACTCCAGTGTGGCAACAAAGCAAGACGCCCTCTCTTAAAAAATAAAAGAAAATGATTCTTTCCTAGGCAAAAACTGTGATGCATTGACATTTTTGTGTAATATTATTAGAATTACTCACTTCATTCCCACTCCTGTATAAAGATAGAGAGTGTTCTGAATTAATGGTTCACACAGAATATCACAGGAGATATGTACAAGTCTTTTCTATTGTTTAAGTTCTTGTTTTTATTTTTTTAATGTTATTTGATTTTTTTGTAGTTCAAGCAGGATCTGAAAGCCTTCCCAGAACTCCCTGCAGTATTTGACACAGAGGTATTATCACTATGATGTAAAATTGTGTAACAGTTGTACTGTCAAAATACATGAAGAGAGTACTTGAAAGTAGATGAATTTTGTTGCAAAGCCATGACTAACTATAATGTTTTGGAATTATACTAACATTTTAGCTTTCTTCATTATTTATCACAAAAGTTAAGCCTGTATTTATTTTATAGTGAGTAGGACTTAGGAACTTAGTACTGGTTTACATGAACTGAGCTTAAGCCCTCTAAGAAAATATACATCTAACAGTTGACTTAACAGCAATACACTATCACACTAAAATATTCATAGGTATAGATCATAATATTAACCAAAATGGTTGCTGTTATCTATGAGTATTCATGTAGATGACATGTAATAAATTACAGAGAGGGTATCTTGACATCAGTTTATTTCTTGCTAAGTAATAAAGTAAATGAAGAAATATTTGTTGTTTTTTAAGATTGAAAATATGAGATAAACAGAAAATAAATGTTTCCAGAACTGTTGATGAATAAATGAAAGTGGTCTGGGTAATGCTTCCCAAACTTCAGTGCAGTATAATCCCACTGAGGTCTAAACATCTAACAATTCACTCAGAAAAGTAGAAAGTAAACCTTTCTAACCATCTTGCTTCATTGAAATCTTTATTTACTATGTGTGGTTGATTTTTTAAATCCCTGGTTTAGACCAAACTCCTGCTTCCATTTACATTCTCTCCAGCTCTTTCTTCTGCTGCTTTCTGCTTTAAGAAGGCAAACTTCCTTCAGCTGTAGGCAGCATTCTCCCACCATGAGCTATGAGAGTTCCTATTTCCTTCAAATCTTCCTTTCTTCATCCAGAACAGTTTCCAGAGCCTACCTTCTCCATGACAGCTACACATTTCTAAAGCACTGTTTGGCTTTCTTAACTAGTAAATACAAAATAAAGGTGGGGAGTAAGAGAGTGATAGAGGGGCAACAGCAAAAGTTACAAATGTTCCCTGAAGAAAACAATTCTACCTTCCTTCATCTTAAGAAGTGAGAATGACCTCAAAGGCAAGATGCGTGGATCTTAGCATCTCATACAATATACATAATAGGCACTATAGATACAATGAGGTGACTCTTCTGTTCTTCTATTGAAAAATGTCAAGATTAAACCAAATGTATTAAGATCTCAACACAACCCTATCTAAAAGTCCTAAACTGTTTTATTCTATTTCCACCATTTACATAAAGGGGAACTCACAAATGAATGGAAAGGAATTTGGAAACTGATGGTTTTCTCCAGGTAAGCATATTTCAGACTTTTTCTTTTGCAGACATCCTAGCCAGAGGTATCTTCACACCCCATTCTATTAACTGAAATTTGCTTCCATTCATTTGTTCACTCATTCATTTTCTGCTTGCTTCTAGAAAGCAATTAAGGCAGTTCACAAGAGAATCACAGTTGCTATGAAACAACAATAACAAAAAAAATTAACTCCAGGAAAAATCCTGGAACTATAAAAGGGAGTCGGTAAGGTACCAGAGAAATTATTAATATATCAAACTTTCCTTAGGTAAGGAAATCACTAATCCAAGGCAAGGTTTACACTTTGGCAAAATGCATTTCTTCCATTTCATTCTTCCTTATAAGTAATGAAATAATACCCAAATCTTTCTGTCTAGCCTGTATTTTGTGTGCAACATCTCAACTACCATGAATAAAAACATCTTGGCTATTTGTTTTAGAAATAAGTAGGTGCAAAGAGAAATAGGCACCTTGCATCTAATTGTGTAATGAGTAAATTATGGAAAGTTTAATTGTAGCTGATGTATAGTTTGACTGAGTTAAATTTTACCATATTGTTCCTTTTTCTAATGAGCTAAAAGCATGTACTTTCTTACTAGCAAGAAGTTCTAATACAATCAGTCTCTCTTTCTTTTTCTTTTTATTTCTCTTACTTTTCTTTCTTTTTGAACCCATAATAGGCATCATTCCTCAAAATGATTTCCATTATTGGGCTAGAAGGCCTGTGGTTACTTTTTTCTTTCAGAGACTGAACCTCATTTACTAAACAGATATTGTGTAATTAAAGATGGGCTGCTTCTTTGAGTTCTCTAGAAAGGTTTCAATTCTAAAGTCCCCAGTGGTCTTTCAAAAAGTTTGTTTAACTGAAGCAAAAGAAATAGTGTAGCCATTGTTTAGGATAATCAATGAGTACAGGAGGGGACTATGGCATGGTGGGAGAAGAAAATCTGGCTCAGTATAATTCATTCTGGGTCCCTTGAGCCCACACATGAGTTCTACTTTTAAGAGGCTAAGGCCCAAGATCCTAGTTTTTAGGGAGTAAATTCTAACTATAGAACCTCTAAATCTTTTATTAATTCATAAAATAATACTGTTTGAAGCTAAAATTAGATATACTTCCATAAGCTATAAGATTTTGTGATTATTTCAGGGCTAATGCAACAAAAAATGCTGGAAAAACAAACTCAGCACTAATAGAGAGGGATTTGTTTTTTTTTTTTTTTTAATTGTACTTTAGGTTCTGGGGTACATGTGCAAATCATGCAGGATTGTTGCATAGGTACACACATGGCAATGTGGTTTGCTGCCTCCATCCCCCCGTCACCTACATCTGGCATTTGTCCCCATGTTATCCCTCCCTGACCTCCCCACCCCACCTCTGATGTCCCTCCCTTGGCCCCCCTAAACAGGCCCCAGTGTGCCTTTAGTTTCAATTTTGTCGAAGGCCTTCTCTGTATCTATTTAGATAATCATGTGGTTTTTGTCTTTGGTTTTTAAATACAGACATAGTCACATTGAATGCTATTTGGGGAAAAATAATTTGAAATTGGAAAAATTTGACAGCAGACTGTGTAAAGTTTTCTGCCCTTTGAAAAATTCAAACTAAAGACATCATTTATTGTCTTAAATAGCATAGCATAAAGTTAAGCCACCTCTCACATCCTCTGATTTCTATTTTAAATCCTAAGTCAATTTCATTCAAACATCTTTTTGAGAAAGATATACAACGTTCCACACTTAACTAAATCTTAGCCATAATTGTTTTATAATTACAAAATTATACCTTCCTTTTTTTCCTCAAGGGTGGGGTTTGTTTTAGCATTCTGTGCCAAATGCATAGATCTGAACTAAATCCAACTTACCCTTTATTTTTAGCATGCTGCAAAATTTGAGGTTCATATAAAACAAAGAGTACATCTGTTTTCATCAGCTGTTTCTTAAGTATTACTGGGATTTATTTTTAAAAATTGTTTTGCCCAGGCAGCTTTGTTTTACTAAGTGTGATTTATTACTCTCCCATGAGCCCACAAAAAATCTGTGTTCCTGAATCAAATATAATAAAGAATGAAAACATATTTCCTTTACAATTGACTAAGTAATCATTTAAAATAGATAAATGTGTTCAAATTCTAATAGAGGATTTTCTTAATCAATGGGTAGAAAAATATATTCAATTACCCCAAGCTCATATACAGAAAAATTTAAACATGATCAAAAGATAAAAGAAAGAATTGAAGAAAGTGACTTTTTTGTAATGCTATTCTAAAAATCAGCTATCAGTTGAAGAATTATCTACCTAAGAGAGATATCAATAATGTTTTTATTTATTCATTTTCTGCTTTGTTCCACAAAAAATTATTTCAGGCAGCTTGTCTCTTGATGTTCTGTTAAAATATTATTGACTCTTAGCTTTTGAATATGATTAACATTTAATGTTTACTTTCTTAGCAAGCATTTTACATGTATTTTATGCTAATATTTTAAGGCTAGAAGAGCATAGTCTTGTCTGGGTGGCATATGTTTAAAGGATGAAATTTATTAATTGTAAAATTATCTTGGAATTTAAAGATTACTAGATAGTAATTTTGACCTTTACTGGCTTCCCTACTTCAATAACAGCAACTTTTTTGCAGAATTGAAACGACTGTAATATTTTTACTTCAGAAATAGGAAAAGATTGAGGAATAATTACAAAGAGAAAATGATATTGCTATCTAGATATCTAAAATGAGCTAAAATTGGGCTCAGGTCACAAAGAAAATATTAAGTTGTATAATGTTTTGATGTAATCATGCAACTGCTTTTAAAGGAGAAATTGGCTTTCTTGGTGAAATGTTGAACATATTTCACTTCTAGGTAAACTTTTTTGCAGTTACCAAAACACTGGCTCACATTTGCTTACACTGAGCTGGTTCTGGGGTCTTGGACGTTTCGAGAACCTCCCAACCATGATCAATTCTCAAGATAAATTAACTGGGAAAAATTAAAAGGCTATATTACTTCAAAAATGGCTTGTTTTCATTTTTGTGATAATTCAAACATTTCTGCATTCACATTTAAGATCTTTGATACTCAAGTAATAATAACTAATGTTGATTTAACATATCTGTATGCCAGGCATTTTTTTAACTCACTTTTTTTCAACTCACTGAATTCTCACAACCTATGGTCAATATGAGGTATCAATTTGACTGGATTGAGGGATGCCTAGATATCTGGTGAAGTATTGGTTTTGGGTGTGTTACTCTGGCACAACTGTTAAGTGACTTGAAAGGCAGCTAGTTTTGAGTGAGGCCCAGACCAGGAGAAGTCTCTGCAACAGGTCAAAGCTACTGTACAAGCTGCTCTACCTCTTGGGCCATATGACCCTGCAGATCTAATGGTGCTTGAGGTATCAGTGGCACATAGGGATGCTGTCTGGAGCCTTTGGCATTTCCTCTCAAGTGAATCATAGTGAAGGCCTTCAGGATTCTAGATCAAGGTCCTACCATCTTCTGCAGATAACTCCTTTTGAGAGACAGCTTTGGCCTGCTATTGGGCCTTAGTAGAAACTGAATATTTGACTACGGGTCACCAAGTTTCTACGTGATCTGAACTGCCTATCATGAACTGGGTGCTTTCTGACCCAACAAGATATAAAATTGGGCATGCACTGCAGCATTCCATCATCAAACAGAAGTGGTATATACATGATCAGGCTTTGAGTAAGTCCTGAAAACACAAGTAAGTTACATGAAGGTACTCCTGCTACCCTGTCTTCTGTCTCCTCGTCTCTATGTATGGCCTCATGGGGAGTTTCCTGTCATTAGTTGACAGAGGAAGAGACTAGGGCATGGTTTACAGATGGCTTTGCATGATATGAAGCACCAACAAAAAGTAAACCGTTGCCGCACTATAGAACCTCTCTCTGGGACATCCTTGAAGGACAGTGGTAAAGGAAAATCTTCCCAGTGGGGATAACTTCAAGCAATGCATATGGCTGTGCACTTTTTTTAGAAGGAGATGTGGCCAGACATGCTGTTATATACTGATACATGGGTTGTGGCCAGTGGTTTGGCTGGATGGTCAGGAACTTGGAAGGAATACGATTAGAGAATTGGTGACACAGAACAATAGACAAGCAGAGAGCCAAATCATGAATAAAGTCCCATTCACAATTGTCACAAACAG